GCGGGTTCAGAAGAGGATGCGCCGCAGTTGCAGTCACACACGACTTGAGCGTCAGAGGCGGCTTCGTCTTCGATGGTGTTGGTGCAGCAGCATGTACCGTCGGGTCCGCAAGCACCACCGTTGTTCGGAACGACGGAATCGGTATTCGAGCGAGCGTCAACTTGACGGATGGAGATTGCGTCGTCGGACTTCCCCTTTAACAACCCCTTTTCGTCAACCTCGGTTATTTCTTCTGGTTTACCGTGGACCGGAAGCTGTTGGGTAGGATTGGGTGACGAGAGCGGCGATTTGTGCTCTTCGGTGAAGCTAGGGTCACAGGTGACATAGACGCTGATATCAACCTCAACATTCGCACCGGCGTTCCGGAGGGTGTTGACGTCTTCGATCACGGTGGAGAGTTGCGAACTGAACCAGCCAAGCTGGCCGCGGGATTTGATGACCCAGACGAAACGGATATGGCGGGTGACTGCCACATCTGGAATACTTAAAAACCCACCATTTTTCGAATCCGATCCAGGAGTGAGCCATGCTCGGACGATATCCCTGAGCAATGGCATAGTGTATGTTGCACCAGTGCTTCCGGCGAAGAAGACGATACTGTCAAATTGCCTCAACGGTCTTATCCGTCCGTAAGGGCCTTCAATGCCTACACTTTTCCGTTGGCATATCTGCACTTGATCTGTGATTGGGAGGTCACCTTGTTTCTTGGCGTGGCGGAAGAATCTCATAGTTCCTCCTTTTTCTGCTTTTACAAGGAACTCCATCTTCCCATCTGCGGGTATAGAAGCAATGGTAAAAGGATGACTCTGGAGTGGAATGAGAGAATGACACGATAGGAAGACATATTGACCGGCCTTCCAACTGATAGGGGGATCGTGGATCGTGATCCGAGTGGTATTGTGAGGCAAAGGCTCAAACTCGGCTTTGAGGGACCAGAAACCGGACAATTGGCCAAGTTTACGCTGCTTGGGATGGAATATTGAGAGGTTGATGTATAAGATGTATAGTGCTCTGACTACACGGTCGAAGAAAAATAAGCCCACGGGAATCCATACCCAGTGTTGGACTTCATCGGGAACGTGAATGAACACGAATCCAATGAATACCGCAAAGGAAACCAGATGCTGGAGAACGAAGAGTTCATAGTTCCAGCCTCGAATCGGGGTCATGGAACTTAGAACTATCCATACCAAAACTGCCCATGACATAACGCCTTTCCTGGTGATAGGATCCGTTCGTATCTTCTTCTCGATGAAACCATCGTATGGGGCCCAGTTAGCAAACCAGTAGCCCATATGGATCGTTGCGGTTAAAAACAAACCGCGAGCGGTCCATCGATGGAGCCAGTTTAGTCTCTCATGACTGGTTCCAGTTAAGCAGCCAACGATATTGTTCTTACCCGCGAGAAGAAAGATGAGGGGTAATTGTGCGATGGAGACGAAGCCGCTCCTGTAGCCAATATCTTCGTAGGACCAGATATCGTTTGTGTCAAGTTTGTAGAAGCATAGGACAACGAGGATGATGATATATGCAAATACTAGACTTACTCGACCAACCGTAGGTGCGTACAAGGTATGACCGCGGATGGAGATGGGAGCAAACGAGGCATGACGGGTTTCCCGTAATATGGCAGTTATCGTAGCTCCTATTGTAAAGAGGAGAAACTTGGGTTTGGCTGGTGTCGGCTGATTGAACTTTTGGGCAGACAGTCTGGATGGGACCTATTTAGTCATGCTGTCCTCAGTGAAGAAGGAGCGACCAACCTTTGTCTATGGAGGAACTTGTTGTACAAGTTCACAGCTGTGGCGGCTGCGATGAAAGTTCCAACAACGATCCAATAACCTTCTTGGATGCGAAAGTTTGTAGGTACACCGTCACCCATGGACATAGAGCCCATGCTCATACCAGAAGTATGATCATGCGACATCTTGGGGCTTCGGCTCTCAACTTTGAGAGACACGGAAAGGGAGTCGAAGACAGAACAAGAAAGAGAAAGGGTGGTTTTGACAGGTTAAGAAAAGGCAGTTCCCAGTAGATTGCGACTTCCACCCAGGGAATATGCAAAGAAGACATGCGCCAGACAGAAATGAGGTTCCAGAAGAGGCAAGCCTATGTCATGGATAAGACTAGGGTTATCGATATGGAAATAATGGAAGAATGAGGAGATGAGTTTTGGGATTTAGGAGAGCATAAGAGGATGCGACACCCATCATGGTGTAGGTATGAGCTTTTCATGCTCGTTTCTGCTCACATCCCACTTTTGCGGTCAGTCCTACCGATACTCTATACAGATACTGTACCATGTTCTCACTTTCTGACTTTCTTACGGCACAAGGCCACACTAGGGTAGGACGCACAGGGAATATTCGGCACACGGTCGATCAAAGGGTCGATTTGAGGCTAGCCCCACCAAAGAAGCTTTGTATTCTCCAATCAAAACCTGCTCAAACACCCTCAGGGCTGTCAAATCGCCTCCACGCCAACTTTCTTTGTTAACTACCTCAACCTGAAAATATCATTATTCCAACAAAATGGTACAAACGAGCCTCTTTAGGGCAGTAGACGACTCCGTACTGTAAGCCGAGGACTATCACTAAAGTAGAGTATATACTCACCACACTTTCTTTTCTTGCCTTGTTGTATGCTTCTACCCGTAATACCTTACCTCTTTTTTCCCCCATAGACTGTCACAGACCTGCTACTTCCTGTCCCGACTGCATTTCAAACATCCCACCTTGGCTTTGTCGCAGCTTTGGTGTTACCCCACGAACATACGTTAATGACTGTACAAAAGCCCAAGATCATTCCTTTCATGCTTTACAGCGCGAAAGCTTGAAAAAGCACAGCGCGCGTTTGAGCGGGTTCTACGCTCTGATACATATTACTTTACTTCCATCCAGTCATCCATCTATTCTTCAGACCCTACCTTGCCATCTTGACTCCCCTTCGACTGAAGAGAACTACGTCTTTACGCAGAACCACGAATATCTAAGTTAATCTCATCTCAACCTTCAAGATGGAGGCAAGGCACCCACATGGGGATATGGATCACTCCAGTATGGGCACATCATCTCACATGAACATGGTTTTCTTCTCCGACACCAAATCACCCCTATTCTCCTCAATGTGGACTCCCACGTCCGTCGGTCAATACGCCGGAACATGTATCTTCCTCATCGTCCTCGCCATCGCCTTCCGCTCCATATTTGCCGTGAAGCATCGTCTAGAAGCAAAATGGCTAGACGAGGCAATCAACAGAAGATACGTCGTCGTAGCAGACAAGACTCCCGTCGCAGAACAAGTAATTAGAGATACCGATTCCAAAACCGCCGTGTTGTCTGCCAACGGAGTCGAGGAGCAAGTGAGAGTCGTTCACCGCCCAGTTCCTGCTATTCAACCCTGGAGATTCAGCGTTGATCTCCCAAGATCGTTAATTGTCACCGTAATGGTTGGCGTCGGATATCTGCTGTAAGCAGAACTCATCCCTACTCAGGATCTTCATGACAGTCGCTAATTCTATGTAAACAGTATGTTAGCAGTCATGACAATGAACGTTGGTTATTTTCTCTCAGTCCTAGCTGGCACTTTCATCGGAGAGCTAGCTTTCGGACGATACATTCAGCTTCACACCGACCATCATTGATTTTCGCATTTCTGCTTTCAAGACATCGTTCGGCGTTGGTGGATCATTTCGGTATCGTTGCAAGCACGTCTTGCCGGTTTCACGTGTACATGGTATAAGTGCTGTGGAAGCACCGATGCCATCGTGTACAGCGGGCGGTTTTATCTTCACCGCCAATATTTTTAAACCAAAACATGTGAAAGAACGGTGAGAACACAGCTGGTGTTCCATTTCATCTCAAAATGCAAATTCTGATCATATTCAAAATATCCGCATGCCATTTTTGAAGGTCTCACAGTGTATAGTGCATGTCATACGTTACAAGTATATTTCTACAATCTGAACGGAACCAAGTCCGCCTTTTCAGCAATCAAATCAGCATCAGCAGCAATCAGCATTAGCTATTTGTACAACCGTCCAACATGACGAAGTATCCCGTACCACATCCCACAACTGCATGCTGTACCACAATTATTCCGTCACTGAACTTCACCGATAAAAAAATCTCCCAAAATCGAAAAACCCCAAAGCACTGTTAAACAAACATCCACATCCCAACAATAAGATAGGCTGTCACGTCACTAGACACAACACATCACTAGGTACAGTAAATAAAGACCCTCCCCCTCGCAAATCCCCCCCCCCCCCCCCCCCCCCCCCCCCCCCCCCCCCCCCCCCCCTTCCCCCCCCTTCCCCCAGTCCCCCGTCCCCCGTCCCACGTCAACAACCCCATATATTGTCCGATCCTATAACAGCATGCCCCACCAGCGAGCCCTCGGTGGGGCTTTCCTGCTTATTGTCTGTCCTACCTGTTGAAGTTGGAATTGGTCCTACTGCTAAGGTATTGCCAAGCGCTAGAGCACCGATGGGGTATTTGCGTTTGCGTTCGTCTGTATATGACTAATTGGGCTTTTGACATGTGTGTGTGGGCACTGTCATTCAGGTGCTTGTCGTTTTTCGAGGTATGGACTATGATCTGGTGGATGCAGGGTACGGTGCAATAGGAGAAGACTTGGAGGTTTTGAAAGTGATCTCCTGTCCAATAGTTCTACTTGGTAGCGGCCTCGTAAGGTATTCGGGGTGAAGCTTTTCCATAAGCGATGAATTCTACATATACCGCTCTGGAACTGCACCGATCAATTTCATAGTCTTAAAAACAAAAAAAGGACCAATAACTTAAACCGAGAGAAAAACTCGTTGTGAAGTGATCATACCTTACACCAATCCCTCAAAGCCCCACAACGTTGGTTTCCCCCACCCGAAAGTTCCTTAGGCCCACCCAGCCAACCAATCACCTCCAAGAAAGATGAAATTCCGTATTTGCATTGAATACATTCTATTTATGGACAATTAAGGGATCAACAATTCCCATCCCGTTGCCCGGCTAGCTCAATCGGAAGAGCGTGGGACTTTTAATCCCAAGGTCGAGAGTTCGAGCCTCTCGTCGGGCGTGCTTTTTTCTTTGGAGTTTTTTCCCCTACATGGGAGATATTTACTGTCGATACTGGATGCTTCTTTTTATTTATTTTTTGAGAAGGGGATTATTTTGTGATTTCACGAGATCGGGGGGCATAAGGACACTATACGATATGTGGGCAAGATACAGGTATCACAGAAGCAATGCAGAAGTATTTGAGTATATTGGATTCAGATATCATATCCGCCCCGTTCGCAAATCATATTATATATATTTTCCCGCTTCTAGAAGCTCGCTCCCCGTCGTAACCTTACACAATCCTCTCGCCGGAGGTATCTCCTTCAAGTTACCTTGGCAGACCCGCCTCCTCCATAAGCTCAACATTAACGTAGTAACGCATTTACAACGCGGCAAGTCCTCCGACGACGCCCAGCGCGCCGACAACATAGCCTACGAACGGCGTCATTTGAGCTGCTAGGCCTGTGGATGTGGATGTCGAAGCGCTGGCTTCGGATTCGGTCGCGCTGGCTGAGGGGTGGGAGTGCGAGTGACCGTCCGAGGAGGATTCGTTGGCGTTCATGCCCCCTTCGAGGGGTTGGACTTGGATGCCGGAGCTGTTGGTGCAGTGGTCGTTGTAGTCTGTTGTGCTGAGGGGGGTGGATGTGAAGGTTATGTCGGCGCACTAGCAGGGAATCGGTAAGAAAGTTTCGGGTTTCAGCGATGAGATAGGGAAAGGGAAAGTTACCTGATACAAGCCACCGCTCGGATCGCCGTTCGAGAGAACCTGAATCGTTGCGTTCATGCCTTCGGTCAGGTTCAGCTCGTCGGGGAAGGTCACCATGCCGAAGCAGAAGTTCTCGGGACCGCGCTCTTGAATCGTCGGCACGAGCACGTGGTTGTAGGCGTCGCCGGGGTCGTTGCCGAGGGCGAGTACGACTTGCAGTTTGGTTTCCGTGTGGCCGAGATCGAGCTGGATGGGGCCGCCGCTGAGGGGGAAGGGCGTGCGTTCATCGGAGACGTCGTTGAAGCCGCCGCAGGGGAAATCGCCTGCGGTGCGGTCTTCGAAACCACGAGCTTCGGGCCATTCGAGCTGGAAATGAGCGGAGGTGAGGAGGGGAAAGAGAGAGAGAGCTAGGGTGGATGTGGAAAGCATGTTAATGGTTGTTTGGAGAATGGGGAGATTATTTGTGAACTATTTGATCTTTCTGGAGCTATCTGGAATTGAAAAGGAGCTCAGATGAGAAATGGAAGAGACGAAGGAGGATGTGTCAATGTATACGAAATTAGTCAATCGCGGAGTCCACCTGACAATGCAATGATAATGATCTAATGACTAAATTCCAGTGACACACAACTCAGGATAGAAGGCAAATGGAAGTTTTGGAAGAACTCGAAAGCTCCAAGACTCTGGGGTAACAGCTCTTTTAAAGCTGCAACGTGAACCGGTACCTCGCATTCCTGTCCTCCCTAAGGTAAGATTCCATTTCCGCCACCACGGTGCCTGTCAAAGACATGTACAGTACAGTACAGTAGGTACATTTCCAACCATTCACCACGCATCCATCAGCAACGCGATTATCTCAAAAGAGCCTTTTCAAGCATTCAAGCTTCGCTGCCGCGGATGACGGGATGTTCCAACTTGTTGGTAAGTAACGGCAGAGTTGATAGAGCGGAAATATGAGCGAGTATGAGCAAGTTTCTCATCCTAGCGCGGGGGAAAACGAAGAGATGATGGGCGCGAGTCAATGCCGGACATGGCATCGCTTGAGCCTCATGGCAGACAGGCTATATCGGGCTTACATCGGGGCGATCCAACGTTAACCCAGTATTTTCTTCGCGGCTCTCTTTGAGCTTCCATACAAATATACCTGTGCCCGGACTCACAGCACACCCCTATACAGGATGGTACCTTTACGTGACAAAGTCTCCGCAGATTTTAACGCTACAGATTTGATAGCGCGCAATTGTTAAAAGAAAGTACAGAGTACTAGAACTACTTGAACTAAGAAATCGCAGTGCAACAGTATCTAATTTGTATATCTCCAATCCACCGTTGATCTTACCACCGCAATGGACTTGGACATATGGGATGATGCTTCGGAAACCGTATAGGAAACTCTATCATCTACACTTCGAAGCTGTTTGTACGGTTGCGGATCCTTCGTCCGGTTTTCGACTTTCCTGTACGATCACGCCAGACAGCTATACAAGCCCGAGCGTACGGTAAAGCGAGCATTGCGCCGAAAGAGAAGAGAACAAACCATTCCTGGGAAGATACTTCCGTCGACATCGTTGAATCCCTTTGGATATAATTCATCACGTTGCGGCCTTGATGGGTTAGAGAAGTTGAACGTTACGGCAGGCAGTCATATCATGTTTCGTCTCCTATAGATACGTCGGCATGATCGCCATTAAAATGCGGATCCAACAGCGACGGCACCAGTTCTCATACACTGCCTTTCTACGCTCCCAATCGAGAATCTCAGTGCCAATGCCTGTTTTCCACGCGATGTCTGGATGTGCAAGCACGGCGTCTCGACTATCTGGACTGCTAATGCGATACTTATCTTTGAGACCTGGATCGGCCTAACCCTGCTCTCTGAGAAGAGTAAGGAAACCCTAAAATTCCGCAACGGGTTGCAAAAGGTGCACCTGTAACATTCTCATATGGCAGGCCGTCGTATGCTGGCCTTACAGAACAAAGTTCAGTACATCCAGGCGCTGGTAGACGAATGCGGTTAAGCTGATTACTTGAGTTATCGGATTCTGTGAGCTTTGGTACTTTCCCTCATTCTGGGCCATTCAGCATTAACGTGGCAACCTGGAAGTTGTCTCATCAAGATCTAGCCCAATTTTATCTCTAGATCTCTTTCCTTTCTTCCGCTCGTTTTTCTTCATCTCATTCCCCATCTCTTTTCATCTCCGAACCGCAGGCCTATCTCGTTGTTGATTGTCTGTGCGAGGGTCACTAAAAATGGAGCGAAGAAATTCCTCATCTGTGTTTCATTGAATTTATTGTTCATCTCGAATTGTTCTTCATATTCATCTCACTCTACGAATCCCTTTTGTTCTTAATCTTCATTTGGGTCAAAATATACGTCAAGAATGGTCGAGATAGGAAAGGGGGTGTGACTTCACACAAATTCCATTGATTCAACTTTTGTGCGAAGGCGGAAGACTTGCGCCATTTCGAACGGTTTCGGGGCTTTCGTACACAAGTGCGTTTCGTCATACTTCGAGTCGGAGGCCAAGTGGTCGGATTCCCTACTTTGATGCTTGATATATGTAAAATACGTGAGGTTCAAACGCGAATCACTACGAGAATATTGCTCGTATCGAAACTTATAATTCACAGCTGAGTTTGTATGAAGAAGGTAGTATCCCATCACATCTGTTTACCACATCCTCAGGTTCTGCTCCTCTATTTGCCGGAGGCATCTTCCTACTTCTTACACTAGGAATAAATGCGCCGCTAGATCTGAAGCGCCTTAGGAATTAGCATTCGTGATTCATTGCAATTAGGACACAATTGGTTAGTTGATATTCCTAAATTGTTTCCCTGTCCATACGTTTCATTCGAGGGCTGTATTATACTACACAATATCGTAATTTCGCATTAAACACTGCTATAGTTCCGGGAGAGAATTCCCAAACGGCTCAGATAAAGTTAAGCTGGACCATCTGCCAAAAGTCCCGAACGAATGCTCCGCCCTCTTCTAACAATAGAGAGAATTCGGTGGATGCTCCAATCGTGTCAATCTCGCATACTATATACTCTCGAACTAGTGCGCGTAATTCATCGACTGTATTTTCGTAATCCGGCGTATTTTCATTGGAGTAAGCGTACCTCGCGAGTTCAACAATATCACTAACCTGTTCTCTGTGAAGCTTGAAATTGGCTAGTGTTTCGTGAAGCTTTAAGAGGCATAGTGACTTGAGGGGTTCAACCCCGTACTTATCTGCGAAGGTATAGAGACGAGAAAGAGATAAGAAGACGTTCGTGTAACTATGGTAAGGCTCATTGTTGACCATTACGTGGCAGGCATAGGCCGATCTTGTGGCCGGCGGGAACTCTGAATAATAGTTCTTTTTCTTGAACGATCTTCTTAACCTTTCCTTCTTTGTCATATTCTTATAACTAAAACCCTTCCTAGTTTTCCCCTCCCGTGTTGACAGACTAAATCCATCAAAATCAGCTTCTACTGGTACTGGAACGGGCTCTTCCACTGGTACCCATCCTTGTGGTTGTACTGGCAATTCTTCTACTACTTCCACCAATGGTTCTTCGAGAGGCGGTTCATCCTCTTCTAGCGGTGACGGCTCCGGCTCCTCTACGACGGTAATGGGCAAAGGGGGAGTGAAGTCACCCATATATGCAAACTGGCAAAACCGCACAAAGTCATGCTCATCTATATCCTCTAGATGTGCTGATCTGCTTTGCGCCTCCAGCATTCTACCGTTTATAAGAGAATTGAGTGCATCTGACTGTCTTGCAATCGCGGCAGAATGGGCGACTATGGGTGTTTTACTGCTCCCGATGAAGAATGTAAATTGCTCGGAGCAAATGATACTGCTAGGGATTTAGCATTTTGATACACATGACTGAACGTAGTAAACTTACTCCTTGTAGACGTAGGACATCTTAAGGTTGTCTGGGGTGTAGATTCACAGAGGAATCTGGGTAGTCGAAATAGCCTTGTTTGCTCTTGAAACGACCGGTCTGTGTTGTTTCTTCGAACTGACTCAAGTAGGACACTTGGGACACCTGAAGAGCTTCTTATCTTGAAATTACAACATGTTTGCAAATAACTCTGAGTAGTGTCAATGAGCTTCTGATATAGAGCTAATGTCAACGCGGGAAACTAGGAATATTAGTATACCTTAGCTAGCTGTAAGTGATTTCGCTACGTTGCCTCGCTTAACTTTCTTAATTAGTATATTGCTACGGAAAGCCCAAGACCTTTTGGTAGTCCTACCCCAGCTGGGACGATTGGCGGGGAGAGGTAGGGTCTAACACAAGTTCCTTATATTTCTTCCCTAGAATCACAAGAATAGTGTCTATCGATCTAACGCTATTTTCCTCTTTAGAATTTACCTAGAGACTGTGTCTAGGGTCACAATATGATACAGATGCTGGACTTGAAGTTTACCAAAAATGTAGACATATTCGAAATACAAGGAGAAATGCCAAATAGCCCGATGAGACGAATTATTTCAGTGTTTGTGACCCGTTTCGCACACGAATGAGGACATCACCCGTATATCCCCTTACAGCTGTCAAATTCACAATTGTTTCCCACACCATCACCTTATCAATGTATCATGCCTGAGACAATGATAACACCATACGCACAACCCCAACCTATCCCCTCACCACTCACCCGAACCAGCTCTCGAATGATCCCTAATCTCCTGCTTCCGTCTCTTAACCGCATCCGCCAGACTCCGCTGCTCCTCCCTAGCTCTCGCAGCAGCAGCCTGTCTCTGCTTCTCTCCGTCTTCGGCCTGGGCTTCCCATACTACTCAACCCATCAGTAATCCCACCAAACCCATCTAGATGCATTGGCTAGAGAGAGGGATAGGGTAGGGTAGATACTCACTCGACTTATCACTCTTCGAATACTCCTTAAGCTTCGTGACGAAACTGTCGAAATCCTGCTGCCGCTTTTCCCGGTTTTCGAGAGAGCGTTTCTGGAGCTCGGGATTGTATCTCTGCGCGGATTGGTTAGCTGAGTCTTTCGTGACGATAATCCGTATTTGGGGGGGTTTTGGGAGAGGGGTACTTTGAATAATTCCTCTTCGGTCGGTGTGAGGTAGCTGACGAAAGCGGGACCGCCGATGCAGAGCAAAACTCCTCTGATTTGGGTTAATAGGGGAATAGGGGGTGACTGATGAGGGATGTGTACGTTGCTATCATTTGCACCCAGGCTTTGGGGCTTGGCATTATGGTGAGGAATTTTGGAGCTAGGTTACTAGATAGGAGGTAATGGTCGGTAAGGGGTTTTCAACGCATCAATATGTCTTTCCCAATCTCCCTTGCTCTTTCTGTAAGTTCACTATCTTGATCACTGACTGATGATGATGAATTGATGGAATTCTAGATGGTTTAACTCTGTACGAGGGTAGGGTCTCTAATAGTTCATTTTGGGAATGGGCCAATTATTCAATTTTGGTTTTAAAGTGGTCCGTGCTCTTGAGATCAAAACGGCGCGACATCACTCCCGTCCGGGCTTCTAGACAAAGTCTCCAACATTGTATCAAACAAATTAAGGACGATTGAATCAAATATCGAAGGTGTTTTATTGTATTGCTATTTCCATCTCATACTCGTCAACCTTTCATGTCACAGTCAGTTCGCGCTCTATTACACATCTCCATGTCTCTATCCTCTCGTGGTTCAAATCGTTATTCGGATATTTCATCATCCCCTTCTTGCAGTTACTAGCAAAACCCCTTAAAGCATCGTATACAGTTTTCTCCTACTAAAGTCCTCCAGTCATTCAGTTCTTTTTGAATCATCAGCCTTGATTGTCTATCTAAACTTACTAGGTCAGGACGCCCTTTCTCGAAAAGGCAAATGATTTCGCGGCGGTAGGATTAATGAGAGAGACATAAATCAACTCGTCAAAGGATACGGGCTACTGGGAACTACTAGCTAAAAGAATGCCTAAACTAGTAACCTAACTGTTCAACAGTTCAGAGAACGGTCAAGAAAATCCCCTTGGGGCCGTGGTGCAACTTGGAATGTGCATCAGAAGCTATAAGACATTTGACATGAGTGAAGGAAGTTGATAAAACAATAGTTGGGAAGCGGTCACCAATCGCACCACTGCAGAATAAAAACCTGGAGGCCAAAGTTCAGAGGTAAAGTCGACCTTTTGGTTCCATTCCGAAGACTAGCAATAGCCGATATCTTGGAAGAGACTATGGCAACGAGCATCGTCTTCTATGTAGCGGCCGACAGTCTTCCATTGCTGCCCTCTACACTCACTGGAGACTGGGTTGATGAACCATATTTCAAATGTCTTAATAATCCTCCCTCGCATATACGGTCCATGTGGTTGTTACAGCCATGAGTCTCTTCTAAAGTCCCATTATTTCGTAAATATCAGTCATGTTGTGCTGTTTCATTCCCTTTGGGCTCTTTTCATTTCGTACCTTCTCTCGTCACGTACAATTCTATCGTTGGGTATAGTCCGACCTGTTTTGTACAGTTTAGCTATTCTGCCAGTCATGATGGGGATCCTTTAAAGATCAATAGTTGAGTTTGATATCCCTGTATCAACGAAGGATACGATCAAACCATAGCTTACTATGGCGCTAATGTTGTAGATGTCCTCACCAGAGAAATACACATACCTCCATATGGTTATGAGAAGTGGAAATCCAGTTTTAACTAGTGAAAGGACATTTGGAGAAGCAAAAAGTCTCAATGGAGATACGTCCTGGTCTCAAAATAGCCATCGCAATACCTACGAATATTCGCTTAAAAAAATACTTTTCCCAATCTACAAGGGATTCAGAAGATGAACTCCCCCGGCTAGAGTCGAACTAGCGACCTCCAGATTGCGGAATCCTTGATGGGATAACAGTCTGTCGCCTTAACCAGCTTGGCCACGGGGGATGATGAATTATTGACGTTCGGCATCTGATCCGCATCTGATATGACTTTCCTTGTGTACCAAAAGGCGAAGTGGGTCGTGTGCTCGGCTGGTGGTTCGAATTCTGCCCCCGACATGATACCGACCATAATCCGGGACAAAGAACGCTTTAGCATAAATTTGATGGGTAAAAGTTACAATTCCCTGTTGTAATATGAGTTTGTGAAGAAGACTTAAGAGGTGCTGAGCGGAGCGTCTTGTTGAATCATGCTCGCCATCAAGGAGTCGCCCCGAAATGGTTTCACTATGACTGCATCAGCGACGAAGAAGAGTTCTTGTGTTTCACACCACCTAGAACGGCCTGTTGCGTGTCTCCATTCATAAAGGGGACCTGAGAGAGTCTTAGCGATGACTTTTGAGCGAACGGAAATAACTTGACACACCTTTCGGGACCGCAACTAGCGCTGGAACACACGTAGACTTTTTTGGAGCTAAAAGGACTGTGTCGTACCATGGCACTTTTTTTTCAACGAAATGTACAGTACAATGATGTGTTCCAGATTGTCTACTGCGATGTCACTCTTCATAAGGACTGAACCAGTGGAGAGATTGTTCTCATGACAATGTGCCAACAACTCCAGCGGCGCCCTTGACACATGTCGTCCACGGAATGTTCTGATATTATTTGTAAGCTCTAAGGAAGGGGTCAATACGCTTGCTGGATATATTGTAATAGTTCTACCATCGGGATGAGAGAAGAATCAGATTGAATTAAAGGGGAGCCTTCGTGAGGATGACGGACGGAGAAAATCTGAGAAGGCCTGCCCCCTGATTCTGGGCTGTATAGTCAAGAGACGAGCTCTTACACTACAGCTGACAAGCTGGGACTGAGTGTAACCATGACGGAAAACCGAGCCCCAGTCTCATCTTCCAGGGCTCAACCTGATTTTGTGGATAAAACCTTCGATGCGTTCACGATACTAGGCAAAAGTAAGATTTGATACCCTTGAAATTCCGAGTTACATTTGAAGAACAGAGCTGGTGAGCATAAACGCGCTCGCCCTGTATTCCTAAACGGTATTCTAAGGCAAAATATGGCAATCGAAGAAAATCTAGGCAATATCATCATTTAGGTTGGATCATATCAGTTCGCTATGTATGGCCTCGATGTATTGGGACGCGTAATGTCGATAGACGAATCTGCATGTTGAATGCGGGTTGATACAATCGAAATATCGGCATGTTGTTTGGCTCGATATACGATGGGTGGTAAAGCAGGACCAATCTTCGCCCCTACAGAATATCCTCGAATATAATCGCAACCCTCGTACTGCTGTCTTACAATGTCGGCACTAAAGACTCGAGTCGCACTGGTTGAATTGAGTCCACGACGGACTTTGATTAGAACTATACACCGCAGCAGAAACTCAAATGCTTTCTTCGTAAGAAAGTTGGTTCACCGACTATAACGGCTGAAGTAGAAGCAAGCGTGTTGTATGTATAACAGTATATCGGGCCAGGTGATATACTCTATGAAACTCAGCAACCGTACCCGAGGAAACGATCGTATTTTCGGAATCCTGCGATATCTGATTGGCCCGCGACAAATACTTCTTTTGTTCTTCTAAGCAGGGCTGAAGCTGGACCTTTACTTCGCCACGAATGTTGTGACAAATTTTCAACCGGTCCCAGCGAAACGCGCAAGCTACTCATAACGATTTACCGCCTCAGGAGATTTTTTAACTTCCCGTCAAGGAGACCGGTCTACCAACTTGCTAGAACGTGGTGAGGATTCAGGAGGCTGAGACAAGCGTCGGATAGTTAGTGTAGGATGCTAATTGGCCTACTCAAACTACTCAGCTCTTATTCAGCAACATCGCGCTTCTCTATGGTAAACATGTGAACTCCTTTTCACAACAGCGGAGATTTCGGTGCTCTTAATCATCCATCGTCCAACAGACGGAATAACGGCGCGTAAAGATACTCCTTGTCCAAGCACGTATGATGTTCTTAGCTGATCCGTCATAATCTATGCTGCGACCATAGAATCCAAGTATGTAGTGTTCTTCTTTACTCTTGCAACGATCCTGCCTTTGCTTTGATAAGGATCAAAACAGTTAGATCCACCAAACACGTTTCATTTACCTATGTCAAGCATTATTACGCGGCCTTGATGCTTGGGACCTCGCTTCGCTGTGCTTGATGTAACAACATGGATATGCTGCTTCTGTGTTGTTCACCTAGTGGGCTGAAACCGCAATGACCATCTTCGAATATCAGCCGTCAAAATATGATAAGTATGGTCTGTTCTACGTGCAACTTACATTTCACTTCCAACTACTATTCTTAATATTATTTCATCCTCCACCGTATCGATTTCTAAACATCTTTCGGACGTGACAGTGTCCGTTTCTCAATCTCCGACTCTTCTATCTCCGTCTTCTATTTCTTAATAGGGGTGCAACCCAAGACCGTTGTCATGGCCACTCCAACAACCACAAGTTCCTCTCCCAGTTCCAGTATCTCAGAGCTCCCATGTATCACCTATACGCCAGGACCGCATGGCGAGGTTCCTGTTGATGCATGTAACTCAAGATACCTAGCTACCCCTTCTTTCTCATGGGCTGTTGTTTTCCTCGTCATCTTTGCTATCTTGACAGTTGCTCAAATAGCACAAGCGATCATATTCAGAAAGGTGAGTTACCCTGTTCCCGAAGAGTGCCGAGGATGGGAACTGACACCGAGCCTTGCGCAGAGATTTGCTTGGGTCATGATTATGGGCGTGTCATGGCTTCTTGCCTCCTTCGTAACTCGTACACTCGGTACTCGCGATCAGCAAAATCAAGGGTTGGCGATTATATCACAGCTCTTCTTACTCCTTGCGCCTTTATGTAAGTCTGAATCTCCCACAATATACAACGTAATACCTCCATCCCCACTTCAACCACCCAAACAAACCCTTACCCAAGAACGACCTGGCTAATGAACGGGAAAGGGATCAACGCCTACGTCTACATGACCGCAGGCCGCCTGATCCATATGTACATCCCCAGCAAGCGCATCTGGCGCATCAAAGCGGCCTCGATCGGCAAATACTTCATCTGGTTCGACATCTTCGCCTTCCTGGTCCAAGGCACCGGCGGCTCCATGCTCACGCCCGACGCCAGCCCGGAGAAGCTGAAACGCGGCTTCGACATCTACATGGCCGGCATCGGCATTCAAGAAGCCTTCATCGTCTGCTTCACAGTCGTCATCGCCATCTTCCACAAGAAGGCCCTGGAGCTGGAGCGCCGGGGTGAACTGAGGGACGGACAGGAGGGGAAGGGGAGAGGGGGGAGGAAGTGGCTCTGGTTAACATTAGCACTCTATGCCGCTTTGGCCATGATTACGGTATGTCCCCGTTCTCACCATCTTCCCCCCCCCCCCCCCCCCCCCCCCCCCCCCTCTCTCTCCTTCCCCGGGTCCCCCTAACAACAACAACAAAAACAACTCTATAAGACGAGAGGAATTATCGCTGATATTTGAGATTGGTTAGACACGCATCATATTCCGCCTCGCCGAGTTCTCCGGCGGCGTCGACCCGGAAGACAACCCGCTCCCTTTCAACGAAGCGTACGTCCTCGCCCTCGACGCCCTCCCCATGAGCATCTGCGTCCTCGTTCTCACCCTCATGCATCCCGGTCTCGTCCTCCGCGGCCCGGACTCCGAGTTCCCGAAGCTGACAAGGGCGCAGAAGAAGGCGCTCAAGGCGGAGAACAAGGCGGCGAAGGCGGAGAGGAGGGCCAGGGGGGAGAATGCCGGGTGGTGGAAGAGGGGCGGGGAGAGGTATAAGGAGATGGCGCATAGGGAGAGTGAGGTCGAGTTGAGGGAGGAGGTTGGTACGGGGTATAGTGGTGGGAGGGGCGCGGTTATGGCTTAAAGGGCTTGGAATGGGGTGTCGTGGCGTTGGGATGTCGGACGTTTTTGGGAGCTTGGGTTGGGCATGAAGTGTTTGCTATGGGATAGAGGTATCAGATACTCGCGATCTTGCTGTCGTAGAGGGGACGTCAAGATTCGGTTTCTTTCCTTACAAAAGCCTTGGAGCGTGGCTGATATACCCTCTCGTTGGGAGCGTAGTCGCCCCTCGATACATGGAAGAGAAGGAATTTGACCGCTGTATTCTATGAAGCGAGTCGATAATTTTGGCGTGAAAGCACATCTCCGGCAAGGAAATCATTTTGTTCGGCACATATACAGTACACAGAAACCAGTCTAGCTAATAATTCGGCTCATCGTTCCAATACAACGTCTCATGATACACCTCCGGCCCCGTACTCGCAAAATCCCACCCAAACGTCATACGGATGAACTGCATAATATGACTCGCCGTCTTGATCTGGCCAGCGTCCGTGGGGTGCCACTGCGGCGAAATATCATTATGCTGCATGACCCCGGTATTATTGAAGTAGTGCACATAATCCGCGCCCTCACCCCTGAGCCTATTATACACACCGAAAATCTCGTCTCTGAACGCGCCGACCTCGTAGTACGAGTTCCCGATGGCGCCGAAGCCGTTCGGGAGGGAGACGAGCACGATCTGCGCGGCGGGCCAGACGGCGTGGATCTTGGCGACGAAGTCGAGGTAGCTGGTCACGTAATCGGCGGTCGCGACCATGTTGTGGGTGTTGTTGTCGTTGGTGCCGAGATGGATGAGGACGAGGTCGGCGGCCGGCTGGGTTTCGAAGATCCAGGGCTCGGGCTTCTCGCCGTAGAGCTCCTGCGCGCGGCCCGAGGTGTCCGAGGTCTGGAACCACTGCCAGATCTGCCCGCGCGGGTTGCCCCAGCAGTTGTTGTCCGAGAGGCAGATGCCGGGGTAGGCGGTGATGGAAAACTCGGCGTCGAAGGCGTTGCCGACGCCCCAGGCCCAGGAGGAGAGGCCCTCGTAGGTGTTGAACATGCCGGCGCTGATGGAGTCGCCGATGATCTCGATGGTCTTGGGTTTGTTGGGGATCTTGATGAGTTTGCCGTTGGAGTTGAGGTGGAC